CCGCTCCCGGCCACCACAGCCTCGACCTGCTGGGCTCAGGCGATCCTTCCGCCTCAGCCTTCCAAGTAGCTGGAACTACAGGCATGCGCTAGGACACTCGGCTAATTTTTTTGATTTATTGTAGAGATGAGGTCTCGCCTGCCCAGGCGGGTCTCAAACCCGCAGGCTCAGGCAATCCACTCACCTCAGCCTCCCAAAGGATTACAGGCTGAGCCACTGAGCCAACTTACTTTTTTTTTTTTTTTTTTTAATTACAATCTGGTATCCAGGAAGGAATCAAAAGAATTTGTTTGAAGAATTCAGGCCCATTGTTTTGCAGAATGTCATCTTGATTTGTGTGATTCTTTCCTCATGATTGGATTTCGATTAAATTTGGGAGGAGGGGGCACAACTAAACTACAGACATGATGTTTATTGTATGCTTCTCACTGCATTACATTGGGAGGCAGGTGCTATCCATTTGCTTAATTATTAGTGATATTAACTTTGGTTCCTTGGTGTTTTAACATTGTAAAGTGTACTTTTTCCCTTTAGAAATTAGTAATTTGGTAAGTTGATTACGTATTTGAAAGTATGGGGAGTTGAGTATAGTTTGAAAGTAAATAGAACAGACTTGCCTCATTTCTGGTAACAGCATTGATATTTAGTAAATAATGTATCTGATTTTAAACATGACTATATGCAAATTTTTATTTGTCTAAAATATAATTGGTCTTATTTTCTACATAGAAGAGGTTTTCAATGAGTTTTTATTAAAGACAATTCTTCTGGCATATTTTCAATGTCATTTCTCAACTTGGAACAAATACACTTGTATTCTCTATGTATTACTCTAAATCAGATGTCATTGATAGTTTCCAGCAGTGCCTGGGTTTTAGCAGTATCAGTTCTTTTTTTATGGTACACACAAGTGATTGTTTTCTTAGAATTGATTAGCCTAACTTAAATCCTCTTAGATTACTCAAAAGAGATTAACTAGACTTGTAACTCCAACTTTTCACTTAGAAAGATCGGTTTAATTAAGAATAGATAGATAGGATCTTTTCACTATCTGTAAACCACAATTTAAACAAAATAAAAGGAATAAAATAATTATATAACATCCACATAAGAGTAAGATTCACCACACCATCTTAATAGCATTTTCAGTTGAATTTAATATGCATACATGTGCCATATTACCTGAAGCTACCATCCTTCTTAGAGCCATATTATCTATCATGTTACATGGCAGTACTTTACCACTGAGTACCAGTTTTACTGTGAGCATCTCTGTCTTTCCCTACTACACCGTATATGTAAAATGCATTATTTATTTATTTATTTATTTTTCTTCAAATAGTTGAATAACATCTGTTGATGTACTGTCATTTATGGTTGTGTTGCTTTGTTTCCTCTGAAAAATACACATATTGTTCTGTGAATGCCACATATTACGTGTTTTATTCCATTCATTTCTTAGGCTTTGGGGTGAGCCTGTTAACCTACGTGAACAACACGATGCTTTAGAATTTTTTAATTCATTGGTGGATAGTTTAGATGAAGCTTTAAAAGCCTTGGGACATCCAGCTATGCTAAGTAAAGTCTTAGGGGGTTCGTTTGCTGATCAGAAGATTTGCCAAGGCTGCCCGCATAGGTAAGTGCTAATTACGTATTGAAGCATTATGCTGTATTATGTATATATGAACAAAAATAAAATGTGTACTAGAACTTAATGCAAAAGTAGAATATGCACTGATTACTGAATACAAAGGAGCTGAAAACTTAATGCCCACATAAAAACCTGCATATGGATGTTTATAGCTGCTTTATGTACTGTGCATACCCACTCTGTGGGGCTTTTTTGTGTGGGTTTTTATTTTTGTCAAGTAACTTTGTTTCCTTCTACTCTGCCTAATCTCTCACAACTTTATATTCTTAGGTTCTTTTACGTAAGATTATTTCTGGGGAAATAAAATGACTTTTCCCATATAGCTACTTAAATTTGTTATAAGATGTAACATTACTTATATTACTTATAAATTTGCTCTTTATCTTAGTATGTAATTATAATACTATAAAGATATTAAGTTTAGAAGATGACAGACCTAGAGTAGTATTTCCTATACAAATAAGATAATGACTTTTAAAATAGTGTTGATTATTATCATTATTCTTAAGGTATGTTTGCATACAAAACATTTATAGCAGGAGTTGATGGCCACGTGTGGTGGCTCATGCCTGTAATCTCAACACTTTGGGTGGCCGAGGCAAAAGGATTGCTTGAGCTCAGGAGTTCAAGACCAGCCTGGACAATGGTAGTGAGCCTCATCTCTACAAACACAAATCAGAAAATCAGTGGGACACGATGTTGCCACCTGCAGTGCCAGCTACTTGGGAGACTGAGACAGGATCACCTGAGCCCAGAAGGTCTAGGCTGTGGTGAGCCTTTGCATTCTAACCTGGGCGACAGAGTGAGACACCCAACTCAAAAGAGTTGAAAAATAAATTGTTTGACTTAAGAAAATTGGCTGAGCTCAGTGGTAAGAAAATTGATTAAGGGCTTCTGTTGGACATAGTTAAATAATCAGTTCATTACTGATAAATATGCATTTATACCAGTTACATAGAAGTTTTACTTTGAAAGGATTTGCCTTGTTGATTTTCAATTAATGTTGGTTTGCAATCCCTTTTCAGCAAGCTATCAGTAAAATGGTATTTTTTACAAGCCAAACTATTAAATACAGTCATGGATTGAGTGTGCCTGTGACTGGTAAAGATACTTTGGTTTTGAATATGAGATGAGGAAATTATTAGGGAAGAGGTAATAATGAGAAATTTCTATCAGGGTATAATCTTAACATTCATTCAGAATTAGGGCATATACCTGTTCACTTAGCCTGGGCAACTTTGGGTCCTTTTGAAAGACCTTTTACATTAGGTAAACAATAAAATAAAAATTTAACCTCTTGCTTTTGATTATAAGATAGCCAATTTACTGGTCATCTGTTCGTGTCAGTCCTTACCAGTTTGTTTTAGACAGTTTTCTAAATAATTTGAAATTATTGGTTTTCTTTGGCAGTTGGAAATGTGAAAAGATCATGGTCTTGAAGTCAGATGCCTAGTACCTGATCAACAACTAAATTCATCTTGTTTTTGTTACATGCCATAAAGTTTTAACATGAGAGTCTCAAGTCTGTCTATATAGGGCAGGGATCAACAAACTCTAGATCATGGGCCAAATCAGCCCATTGCCTGATTTTGTAAATTTTCATTGGAACAGCCCACTCTTGTATTCACTATCTGCCTGCTTTTGCTGCAGGGGCAGAAGTGAGTGCAGAGGTTCCCTGACTACAGTGGTTCAACTTGGCGATTATTTGACTTTCCAATGATATAAAAGCGATATGCGTGGGAGTACCCGGGCAGCCATTCTATTTTTCACTGCCAGTGCAATAGTCAATAAATTCCATGAGATATTCAACACTTAATTATGAAATGGTCTTTGTGTTAGATTTTGCCCAACTGTAGGCTAATGTAAATGTTTTGAGCACTTTTAATGTAGGCTAGGCTAAGCCCTGATGTTCAGTAGGTTGGGTGTATTAAATGTGTTTTCATCTTAAGATATTTTCAACTCAAAATGGGTTTATCTGGATGTAGTGACCACTTGGTAAGTTGAGGAGCACCTGTAGTTGCCACAGAAACCATACACCCCACAAAACCTAAAAGATGTACTTTCTGGCCCTTCGCAGAAAGACTTTGCTGACTTCTAGTCTTAAAATTTCCTACTTTTTAAGTGGAGTCTAAGCTCTAACTTCCTTTTTTCCTCTGTGGACTGTTCCCTGATTATATAGTGACAATTTATAAGTGCCTTTGTGTGCCTTTTTTCCTTGCTAAGTGTAATATTCCCTAAATGAGGGACTAACTTAAACATTGGGCATTCCACAGTGCTTTACACGTGGAAAGCACTCTCAATATATTTGTTGAATGAATGAATTTTTTTTTTTTTTTTTGAGTTGGAGTCTCACTCTGTCGCCCAGACTGGAGTGCAGTGGCCACTCCCGGGCACCGCAA